TTGCACGCCGTGTATAGAATCGGTTCAGAATATAATGACATTAACGTCGCCATACACAGTGCTAAATACTATACTATAAAAGTATTACTTTTCCCCCTAGCATATGAGTTAACTAAGAAGTTGTCAGGTATGCCCCCTTTAATCAGCCACAAAAAACTTAACACATTCCGATGCTTCTTATTTCCTTTCACTTGTCAAACATCATCCGTGTCCAAAGCAAGATCTTATCCGTCTTCGCGCATTGAATTCTTGTTCCGCAATTCTGTCCGTGCATATAGTAAAACAATTGGAAAATCATTCGTGAAAAAACGATTCCATCATGAATTGACAGAACAATAAATTTCAAATTGTTAAACAAGGATGCGAAGTTCAAGGATAATTTCCCGATGCAGAGAATTTCAGTTAATCGGACACTAGTAATAAACATGGCGATAGCTATATTGTATTTCTTATTTCATAAAATGAAATTATACTGGGAATATATGACGAGTAAACACATTTTTGTCAGGCGCAGAAATTTAAGATGATACCTGAGAAAGCTGAGCGCAGGGAGAGAAAAAAAATCGAAGCGAGAATTGCCATTCAGTTTTTCTATACCTGGGCGTCGAGGTGTTCACCTCAAATAACTTTTATTTGAACCTTATAAAAATGCATCATTGAATGAATAAAGTATCAATATTTGATGTTCCTTTTTCCATTACCGTAAACTGGGTCGTCGATTTCACATAAGATTCGGTTACATAGTAACGGGCTGGAATCAAGCAGCGTTTTACATCGCTGCTGGATGTGACGTAACATACATAGATTCGAGTAAAACTACGTTAAACAATATATTATATATATATATATATATATATATATATATATATATATATATATATATATATATATATATATATATATATAGTTCTAACAACGATGGTACTTTAATACCAATTATCCGTCGACCGGTATCTTTGCAATTTACTAATCTGCTAATCAGCATATTAAAAGCTTAGGATAATGAAGTTAATATAAGATTGATATTAACTTAAATGTATTATAAAAGAGCTTACCTGCTTTATACTAATTCCTCAAATGCAGAATGCAAATCCTCTGACTACACAGCTTGCGTAACTCTAAAGTTGTGTAACTAACCCCATTTACTCTACCGAGTCAATTTTTTGTTTAACATGTTTTAGAGAGTCTTTTGTGACACGAGGTAGCCAGCTAGATACAAATAAGAGAAATGGGGGCACATGAGGTCGTGAGGTTTTTCATACACAGATGTAAATAATAGTATATGCCTGACACGGATTGCTTATAATATCACGTATGTAAGGCATGGGCGGATCCAGGCCCTGGTCGCCCCGACACGCTTTGAGATTTCGTGAAGAGTATAACATTACGGCGCATTATAGCAATATCCTCTGGGATATTAATTGTTTTTCCAGAACTTTCAGAATTCATAAGTTCTACTTGAAATACAGGGGCATCTGGATTTGCCACAAATAACTATTTCTACACGAGGTATGTCCCGATTGCGTTTTAAAAATGCATCCTGTGTAGACCTGTTTCTTTCATTTAAAAATAACCTTGAAAACTCCGGGCAGAGTCCCTCAAATTCTTTCATTCAAAACAGCCTTGAAAACCCCGCACAGAGACTCTAAAATATATGTATTGTTCACAATACTCTAATGACTTTCCTCTAGCTTTCATATTCTTGTGTTGACATTTTTAATCGATGCAAACCCTCTACTGTATTTTTTTTTTTAACATTTTGCTTCCTCCTCCAATTGACGTTTCATAATTGACCTTGAGGCTTGTCTCTCGTTCTTGTTCTTACGTCCTATCAGCATTCTATGTGTATTAATTAAGTACATTTAATTAAACACTACAGTTTTGTAAGTATCGACATTTTTGTTAGTGGTTCAGTATTTTATGTGGCGGACATAGGGAAGAATAATTCTTTTTCACCATCACTACAATATATTAGCTCGCCTGGATCAGAGGACCAATCGACTTATTGGTAAAGGGAATACATCGGGCACCTGTCTGCTCCTCTGTTTTTCAGCATATCTACATCTGCAGTTTTTCATCATTTCTTAAACTACTGAACCCTTTTCAATTAAACTTGGATAAGTCATCCTTGATTTAAGATTCAAAATATTAGGATATTAAAGAGTATTTCTCTCAATACATGGAAAGAAAAAAAAAAAGGTTAGTTTTTGGAGTGTTTATAGTGAGTGAGAATGAGACAGAGAGAGAAAAATATATTCTAGTCAGAAAACACAATGCTTTTATAATTAACAATTTCTCTACATGACGAATAGATTGTACGCACATTTTTCCGTTGTTTGATTCTTTATTATTTTTCCTTTTTCTATGTTAAATTTTCCAAAATTTCATGTAACTGCCGATCTTGTACGAAGAGAAAGGACACATTGGTATTCTTATCTTCTGTCCTATTCTTTCTCTTTTTATCGAACCTTTGGTTCTTTGATATATATAACGCTTCCATTTTGAAGATAACAAATTTTTATATTGAAAGAAACATTAAAAACAAATTTAAAACACCTTAACCATTTTTAGTCAGATTGGATACAGACGCCTTGAAAGATACCTTAATGGTAGATTTTTTTCAAAGTTCTATCAAAATATATGTAATCTTTGAATCCTATAATGTTGTTATCCCCGTCAAGCGAACGAGGGAGATTTCCAGAGATCATCCGTCCGAATGTGACCCGAACATGTGCTAAAGACATTACATTACTGATGTCAAAAAACGGAAAACCAAGAACAATGAGATCCATTTCTACAGTGGCGGCCATTTTATTTAGTCTGTCACACTTTGAATTTTCCTTCTCCTTAAAAAGTTAAACATTTACATATAATATTACTTTCGTAGGAATTGCTTTGGCCTAAGCAACAATATCATTCCTCTTTAATGACAAACTATACCTAATTCAATATAGGGGAAGAATTCAGTAGCACCCTTAAATGATATGCTGGTGGGATTAAATGGAATAAATGTCAAAATGTAAATTCAAGATCAATTTACGAAATTTAAGAGTTACCAGCCGAGTGTGTCGTCCTAAATTGACGTGAAACACATTTTCTTAGCAACCACTTAACCATGAATGGACATAAAACTCAAATTTAAGTGGAAAAGTATATTCATTTCTATTTCTTATTAGAAATTGATTTCTTTAATTCGTCGATCCCTCAAACAAAAGAAATCACCGCTGTCTCAATACACTAGTTTAATTTCAAAACAGGAAGGACTAGGGGATAATACTTCATTGATTGAGCCTTGTTTGAAGATCAATGTATTTGAGATATAATGCAAAAGGCGATGACTTTGATACCGTGGGTTCTGACTAAAGCTCTCCAAAAATTATTACAGCATTACCGCATATCCATCAATACGGTTAAAAAGATCCAGTCAAAATATGAAATGTGAAGATAACAAACAAGGGTCATTCTCAAAAGTCCGTTTAAACAGCAGAGCCTACACAGATCTCTGAAAACGGAGATGGGATTAGGTGCTTAATGATTAATAGAAATTACCTAAATTTGCAGATAATAAGACTTTTGTGAAGCAATGTTGAAGAATATTCCAATTTTAGTCTGCTTGACATCTACAACATTTTAATACAACATAAAGATTTTGACTTAAGCTTAAGATGTTTCATGATCTCGGGGCCAGAATAATCAAGCATTTTTAGACTGAAGTCAGATTTTGTACATTCATTTGTCATAATAGTTTATTATAGCAAACGCATAAAATTTTAAATGTTATCAAGAATTGATTTCCTTTCATGTTGTTAATATTTTCTTTTAACATGTTTTATGAATGAGTGAAATTTTGACTTAAGTCTAAAACTGCTTCCTGATCCTCGGCCAGGACTTGGTAACATTCTTTTCAGATTGACTCAGGTGAGCATAACAGGCCTCTTGTTAATTTCCCGCGTAGTTACAAGCAAAAGCCTTTTAACTATATATTAATTCTGATGTGAACGCCTAGAGGGGCAAGTAAATGGCCACGTTGTATTAATTAACAGGCTTATCCCCAACAGTTTGTCCTTTACCCTTAGCAACATGCCTGAGCTTACAACACTGCGCAAGCCACATATTTACGACTTATAAACATTTATTATGTATCTGGTTAATACGTTATTTTGTTATACACTATCAAATCTTGTTCTTCGTACATCATTTACAGAATGGGGAATACTTTTATGATATAGCACTACAGAGTGCATACTGTGACTACATTTGTTAAATGGTAGCATTGGAGCTATATTTAGCTTACAGCATATACAGATCGAGGTCAATTTATATTCGACCGAGTAGAACTGGCCGTGTGAATGCAGTTTATATCCTTGGGTATTTTGACATGTTAATATCCCATCGTTTCTTTCCATAAAGCGAAAAATTCCGACATATTACTTATATATGTATTTCTATATAGAGTTTTACTCAAACACATTGCAACAGTCAACTTCCATCAATAAGTATGTTGGAATCAGTTCACCACCTGAGGTTTCCATTTACACGTACTGGATACTAGGGATGCGCGATTTTATCGGTATACCGGTATATCAGGATTTTTTATTGCGTGATACGTATCGTGATACGAAGACTATTTGGTACATAACTATAAATATTCATTTGTTTGTTCAATCTATTGAATGGCAATTACAGGAAGTGTAAAAAATGTTGAAAACAGTTAAACATTTGCATCCAAACATTCTTTATATTAAATACATAAATATTTAAACAGTAAAGTTATGCTTTTATAGCATATTTTTAGGAAATATTATGGAAATTCATATGAAATTGTAGTAAAAATTGTATGTAAAAATATCACGATTTATCGTGATATTTTTGGGGGAAAATCGTGATATATCACGATACGAAATTTCTGCCGATACCCATCCCTACAGGATACCTATATAGATAAGATCCAATTTACTTCTTTTACATCCTAGAACACACAGTGAAAACAATACCAGTAATTAGTTAAATATCTTTTTTTTATAAAACATCTGTATTCATAGTATGTCGTATGAAATTATATATATTTATTTGAATCTGAATGTAGTGACCTCTGTGAATGATATATAGTTGCCAGATAAGTAAATTGTATTTTGACAGATAATGTAATTATTTGGTTTACGGATTATGTACGTAATTGTAAAATTTGTTCATTGCTTTCACATACATCTTCACATTTCACATAGAAAGTAAAACGTCCAGAATTATCAGAGGTACACATGTTTTCAAATGTTGTTAAGAAGTGCTTTTGCACCAATGTTGTATAATGCGCTATTGTCATTGCTGCGTCCCAATGCTCAGATCGTGAATCACGTGCTCATCTCGTTCTGTGATCCCATAATTCCACTATATCACACACGACTGTCAGACTTCCGCTTTACCGAAACCTCCAAATTGTCTCCAATCGTTTTGTCTTTTGTTTCTTTCAACAAGAGACACATGATGGCCGAGACCAAGGTCACAATAAAACAAATGATGTACATAACCCCAGGGGTTTCTTTGTTCTGAAAATAGACAAGTGTCATACATGTACTCATGCATATGTACAAGGAATTAACTTAGATACAGCTGCTTATTTCTTTTTTCTTTTTTCAAAGAATGACTTTTGAACACTGTTTACTCGGAAATTTTCGCCGCCGTTTTGTTTTCGCCCCTATCGCCTTCGTTGTCAGTTGGCGAATTCGAAACATAGTTAAATCTCTATAAAGGCAATTGTGTATGGGCGAATTTAAAACTGAGTGAAATTGTCTGCAAATATGTTAGGAAGATTTCGAAGTTAACACAAAGCAAAAATAACCCTGTACAATGTATACAGAATTGACTTTCAGAGTTGATTTTTAATAAGATAGTAGTTTACAACGAAAAACAAAATAAGCAATTGTCAGGAAAAAAAATCAAACACTGTAGAGCTTCAGTGTCAATGAGAGTTAAAATCCCTAAGGAAGTGACGTCATTGATTTACTTACCACGAGAACGAGTTGTGGAGCTATCAGAGCTCCTACCCGTGAAATAGAGTTCTGCGTTCCATAACCGATGTTCCTGTCAACAGAAACAAGATGTAATCTTAAAAACTGCAGATCTGAATTAATTCTGAGGCATGTAAATATCAATAATTTGTGTCAAGTCATTTTGGGAAAAAATGAGCATGTTATACGTAGCCTAATCATGACTAGCAGTTCTGTCATTTAATCTCGTAATTTCTATATAACCAAAAGGTCGATGATCTTAATTTCACACAAGTATCATACGTTTCCCAACCTATAATTAAATTACATGTACCCTTGAGTCCAAACTCTTGTCCTTGTCAACGCGTATTTCTTAATTTAGAACCACTGCTTTGATTCATAAGCAATTTTTTTTTTTGGGGGGGGGGGGGGGTTGAATATCCTTTTTTTCCGAAGATACATTGAATTTTTTTTAAATTTCCAATATAAAATTTGACATGCCTTCGGGTCTGAACATTGGACCAAAGGGACATTAACATTTTAGGTATACTGACTCGGACAGGACAAAATTTCGGACATTTCCGGTATGCGCTTTTTTCCTTTCGTTTGAAATGTCTGGAAGGTTTCTTTTGCATAAAGATGAAAGTAAAAGTTTCTTTTGCATAAAGATGAAAGGAATTTAAAAAAAAACTGCCGTATGCATATCAGGCATCTCACAAAGAAATTCCTGTCTGTCTGAAAAATGAGAATTGATACTGTACCCATAATGACTGTGGCATTTGGGCAACAAATGCATGTACAAAATACTATACGATATGGATAAGCTTTTTTAAATAATTATTTTGATTAAAGTATTTCAGCATTTTTGTCATATTCAAAATAAAAAGAAGAAGAAAGTGCCCGAGAACGAGTTGTCAGGCTGTATGGCTCATAGTTCACTGTCGCCGTTCACGCCGTTTGTCTTAGAAGAGATATCCAGGAATAAAGGCAAGGGATTCTAAAGATAAAATGTTAATTTTTTCATTGTTGGCCAAATCAACTCCACTCTTGGGCCTGAACCAGAGCCCCTACACGAATTTTAAATCTCATAAAAGACTCTTTACTTATGAATACAGTTTGTCTTCCAGAGATCAATGAGGAGGACGCTTTCTGAGATTGCTACAATTTTGCCCAGAGAGAGGTCACTGAAATTTACGATTTTCATTTCCCTTTCAGTATAGATGTTATGCACCTAATTTGGTAAAAATTGCTTCAGCGTTTTCGGAGAAGAAGCTAAAAATCTTCAAAAGTTTACGAACACAGAAAATGGACGGTTCACACCAAAGCAACAACGGGCTAAAGTAAAACAGTCGTCCACTAAAGTGACACGGAGAACTTAAAATCATACATGCTGTGTGTTCAAACCGGGTACTTTACCTGACGACAGTGGGATAAACTTCCGTTGTAAAAGCCATGATGGCGGCCCAGGAAGCAGAAACACCAAATTTGGCTGCCAGAGCGAATCCATTAATGAGATTTTTCTGGAGGTCTTTTTCCACATCTAAAGACAAAGAGTTTAAGCTAATCAACTGTTTTTTAGAATCTTGGTTATTCAGTATTCGTGGTATACGTGCCATATGGTATCCTTATAGAAGCTAATAAAGCAATAGTTGAATTCAGAAATGTTGGACCCTTGAGGAAAGTCTCCGGAATTCTGAAATGTTTGAAGCATTATGTCTTCTAATATGCATTCACAATATATTTCCTATTTCAGAGCTTTGAAAATATTAGAAACTTGATTAGAAATAAAATATTGACAATTAATTATCAACATATATATGCAATATATAATAAAGAAGAATCACATATTTGTAAGAATGTCGATCGATGCTAATAATACTAAAAGTATTCCCCTATAATAATTGATAAAAATCTTGTACTTGTTTATATTGTGTTTGAAGCATGCAGAACTATAGACATTTAACTGAATATTTAAATAATTATATCTCTTTCAAATAATATCCATTTGCTTTGCATTCACGAATGATTTCTGTTTAAGTTTACCGATATTCTGATTCTAAATTAAGTAGTTTCTTCCTTTGGACACCTGAAGAGTTCCCCTGTAGTCAGCATATTGAAAAGTAAAATAAGATCAAGTTAGTAGGACAATTTAAAGTGTGCTTATATTTGTAAAATCCTAGATTTTCATTGAAGTGGGATTATTCTCTAGACACCTAGCATCTCTGTAGCAAGTTTGAATGTCCAATTGTTTCTGTGTTACTATTAATAGCACGTCCTTTTGACCTTCTGAACACAGAATCAATAAGAGCTTCTATAATGTCTGCAGCAAGTGCGAAACTTTTCATTGTGTGTATGTCTTACAAATGTACACAAAAATCCTTGCTGATAATAATCTATATATACCAAACCAGTCTATTTGTCTGTCTGTCTCTATATATTAGTGGGTGCGCTCGGGATTTTTTTTTCCGTATATGTGTTTAGGATAGTATTTGAAAAGTTAATATACACAGCAAATACTTACATTTATTTATAATAAAAACTAACTTACCTATCATCTGTGATACCGCCACGCCCAGACAAGCCAGGGAGCCAATCACAAAGTAACCAAGACATGTCCATCTGCGCCCGATACTGAAACACAAAAGAGACGAACAATCACGATTTGTATAAACTTTATAAACTGTTGTTATTAAAGAATAAATAATTTATTTAAATGATCCTTGTTAGGAATTCCTAAGATAAAATGTGTGACGTACAAAATCTGTCGCTTAAGCATGCTTTAAAAGATCGAAATTCCCGAATGAAATAATATCTTTTTCCATTCTTTTCTTCTTCTTGACAATGCTCTTTTTTTCTTTCTATTAACTTGAATTTAATCTCTATTACGGATAGGTATGTACTGGCACATTTTAAGTACTTATCATAATGTTTTAAGCATAAGGAATTCATATTTATTTGTTATTTGCATACTCTCGAGTAGTAGCTTTATCGACAACATTTGTATTCTTTAAGGTAAAGGAATATTTGAATTTCTTTCTGAATTACCGAAATGCATGTCTTGACTAGCTTGACTCTTACTTAACTAACCACTGAATTCTAAAGTACGTATAAATTAATGAAAATATAATTTAATTAGGAAACCACATATCCGTTTCTGAGATACTGTTTACAAAATTAATTGATGGCATGTGATAAACACAAAAATATACTGAGGTACATGTACATGTATGTATTCATTAATGAGGAACATGTACTCAGGTACTTTTCGGTAACTGAAGTACTTATCAGTAACTGAATACTTACCAGTTATTAAGGTACTTATCGGTTATTGAATATTTATCAATTACTGAGATACTTTATACTTACCAGTTACTGAATACTTACCAGTTACTGAGGTCTTTATCGGTAACTGATGCTTACCAGTTACTTTATTTATCGGTTACCGATGCTTACTAGTTACTGAGGTACTTATATCGGTTACTGAAGGTACTTAACAGTTACTGAATACTTACCAGTTACTTAGATACTTTTTATGATATCGGTTACTGAATGCTTGCCGGTTACTGAGGTACTATTTGGTTACTGAATACGTACCGGTTACTGAGGTACCAAATGCTCATAAGAGCGGGAATGTCGATGACACTAAGAAGAAACATGTTGAGGTAGAGGTTTCCTGAGAGTTGGTCCACGCTATAGGAAATAGCGTAGTAGGCATAACCACAAGAGAACCTGCGACATTATATAGAAATAGATTATATTTGATGTGAATCACGAAGGTGAACTTTTATAATGGTCAATTTGTACCAGTGATTTAATCGTTAGTCTATGATGATAAGGTCCAACAATTAAGTACCTTAGATATGTCCAGGGGTCTGCATTTTAGCCCTGTTCAAGTGTCGTTTTGTTTGTAGGACTTATGACATTGATCACTTTTCGTTTTTTTTAAATATTTTTTTTTGAAAATTTCATGTTGTTCATTACTTAGTAATTAACAGAATGTTTGTGGAAGTGTAAATTTATTTAATTTAGCAATTTTACATTTTTTCCCTAGTTTTAAAACATAAGTTGTGTCCTCTATTTCTCAACAGTCAACAATCATCTTACCAGGCAACACCAGCTAATGCAGTGTTGACCAAAAGGGTTCGACTTCGGAACAATTCCAAAAATGTGTATTTTCTGTCTCCTTGAAACGTGCTATCCGATTCTAGGACGGCTTGGAGTTTATTAAGATCGGGTTTGGGATGGTTGTTTAAGTGAGCAATTTTCTTGATGACCCTATCTGCCTCGGCCAATTTGTCATGTGACACTAACCATCGGAAACTTTCGGGAACAATCCTGTGAAAAAAAAAATTAAAGAAATATCACTTCTGTAGGATTTTGATATCATATGAGTTTATACTTTGCCTCTGTTAAATCTACTCCTCTATCATGTCAGTTGTAAATCTCAACCCATGAATTCACAATTACAACATATGATATATATACATGTACCTCCATCAAGTTTTAAATATTGTTTGATAGTAATAAAACAAATATCACAGACTCACCACCAGGACAAAAGACTGAGTCCAGTCAAAACTCCAGTTAGAATATGTAAACTACTCCAGTCCTTCAACAGATAGGAACAAAGCCCCAACAAGGCGGCCCAGATTGACCAATCCGGGACGGCTAACTGAATGGGACGGAATTTAGTTGGTGTGAACTCAACAGAGAATGTGTAGAAAACAGTGAGGTATGCTCCACACCCCAGTCCGATGATAAAACGGGTCACAGCGAACATCACCCAGGACTGGGAAAATCCAGCCACAATATTAGAGGCGGATAGAATGAAAAGCGACACAAAGAATGTCGGTTTCCGCCCCAGCAGATCCGCCAACTGTCCACCCAGAAAACCGGAAATGAGAAGACCCGCCATTTGTACCGAGGAGACAGTCGCTGTCACCCACTTTCTGTCGCAGATCAATCCCCACTGAAAAAAAAAATATTTAAGTATGTTGTTGTTTTACAAACTAGGATGTCATGCAAATAAATATATTAACAAAAATAAATGAATTGTTACATATATCTGCGTGTATTAAAGAATATATGACGCAGCACTTGTCGAAATGTGAAAAAAGTTCAAGTAATTAATAGAAGGGGTTCAAAGATTAATACTGGTGTAACGAAATGAAGCTCTTCCACTGATTTATGAAACTTAACACTTAATACGGTTGATGGTATACTTTACATCTTTGCTATGAAACAATGATTCAAAATTTGGTGAGGGTGCCCCATTTTCCTTCTCAATCTGCTTCTGCATATGAATTCAATTTGACCCCCTCTCTCGCTTACATTGCAAATGAAGCTTGATTCGCCAAACAATCATGTGATCATACGGTTTCGATTCAGTTTATAAAGTTTCTGCTTTCGGTGGTCATTACCACGCATATTGTGAAAACAAACAGTTCTATATTCTCCCTGAACCCATTCAAAATAAAATGTTTCGACATCAGAAATCAAAATTTGTTCAGAACTATTATGGCATGATCACTTTGTTTTAAAATTCCGTAATGTTTATGCATTCTGTGCAGAGTTCACGCCAAATACATAATGAAAACAATTCCTGATTCACGCAGATTCACAGGACGTACGTTAGTACAAATCCGACCTATTATTAGCAAAGTAGATTTGACACTTCATTATAGAATTACTGAATCAGATTTTTAATAATTTTGAGAAGAAAATGACCTCGCTGATGATCGTCTTCATGCTGTTGTCGAAGACGAAAGCTTGGCAGGTAGATCCGTTAACAGGGGGTGAACATGTTTTAGACGCTAGAAACACGTCATGGACTGGTGACGTCATGGTTGTGTTCGATATGGTGCTGTAGTTTATGGAAGATTGGACATCGGTTGTGTTGGAGTAGACACACCACCAGTCTGGAGCAGCCCCAGCGAACGCCATGATGAGGAGACTCCAAGTAATGGACACCTTACTGAAGAGAATGCTGCCATGAAGAAGGATCTGGAACTTCCCAAATCCACCCGTCTCCTCAAGCACGTTCTCCAAGTACTCACTGACTGTCTTCATGTCGGGCTCGGTCTGTCAATAACAAAGCAGTATATAAATACGAACAACAATGACCATTGGCATTGCCCAGTAGTCTGGTTGACAATTATCGGAAATTCAGTAGAAGTCAAACATTGCTCGCCTTGGTAACGTTATGAAAGAGTTTAATGTCCCTTCGTTGACCCACTTTGCACAAATGAATAGCATACAAGTCTGAAGAGTACAAGTATGATATTGCCCTCTGAAGACCCAGCATATTTAAACATTGTCTGGCATTATTTCATTTAAGAATTTGCACATAACATGTATTATGCTGGGTTTTTTTTAGGTTTCATCTAGTCTATCGTCGAGAAAATAAAATACGCAGTGAATTATTTCTCCTAATCCAGGATTCATTATGCCATTAACAAAGCATCATTATAATTGCCCCTTTCCATGAAATGCCATTTTTCTAAAATGCGTCTATGCCATTGATAAAAATAATATTTAACACCTCCATTCATGTTTTCTCGGCAACACTTCATAAGCCATTATTAAATTAGCTTTTAGTTACATTTATCAAACAAATCTAGACTATATATGCTGGATAAAAAGGAGAATGAACAAAACGATGATCAATATCCGCAGTACGCACTTCAATATTATCTCACATACCTTTTTGATGTTAGTCGTATTACCAAATTTTGTTTTAAACTACAAAACTGTGAAAATAGAGTTTCCTTAAAAATCCTCGAGATTTTTTGTATGTTACTTAATACTAGTATTACATAATTATGATGCTGGAATGGAACTTTAAAAAGCGTGGTGTCTTTTTAACATATTTTCTACTTATCAATAAAATTACGAAGTAGTCACAATGCATATTTTTATTGATGAATAGTAAATATGTCAGATAGACACTAGTTCTAAATATCACAAATAGGAAGGACAAAACTCTGAAGTTTGCCTTCCAAATACCGCATGGTTGGAACATCTGTTGACTTTTACTTACGGATTGTGGAATAAGACTTTTCCCCATTGTTCCTACTTAAATAAACGAACAGGCAACAAAGTTAACTGTTCAACTCATTCACATTTGATGATACAATGAAAAATTCGTTCCTTTTAAAGAAATATAAATCCTCTTTAGGGTTTTGTAATTTTTAGTTATGTAAGCTAACCGACACGTTATTCATAAGAACATGTTTTGGAACAAGATATATAGGTAATCTAAACAATTAGGTGAAAAAGACACCTTGGTCGACAAAGGTTAACACAGCTAATCCAAATCCCAAGTGCACATGCAATCAAATGTGGGAAATGCTTACCGTACAAATCTAGCGCACCTGTCAGGCTGCCTGTGCCAGAGTGAAAGAATCAGAACATCGCCGGTTGTGGAATTTCAATGGCTCGTTCGGAGGGAAGGGGAATTTTGGGCAGTTTAAAACCCGCATTATTACAAATTACGGGCCGAACAAAGGAGACCACCTATAGTGCTTGTTAAATGTGACAGAAAAGGCAGGGGTTATCCATCAGTTAAATCTTGCGAATGTCCGCTTATATTTCGTCTCTTTTTACTGGATTATAAATGAAAATTTGCTATAGACTGTTGCTTAGAAATGGAGCGATGGCTACTCGTAATTACAAATTTTGTTGAACTGGACGCAGCGAAGTGCTTTATTTATCATCTTTAATTTCTTTTATATCATTATTACTTCTTAAATAGATTATTTAAACAAGTTTTGAATTATCCCATGACCGACAGTCGCCTCCGAGTTTGCAGTAACGAAACGATATTTTGTATGCATCATCTTGTGTCATCATGTAACTTTTACCAGGTCTAGGTCTCTGTTTTTGGAGGATAGATTTTATCCTCTGAAAACAGAGGATAGCAGTCTTGCCACCTACCGGAATTTTCAAAACTAAGGGCAGTTAACTCTTAACCAAACAAATAACAGCAACTCTTGCATTTATGAACCGTACGCTGATTTCGAAATAAAACAAATAAAAGGTACAATTTCATATGATGATGGATACATGTAATTCCAGATATTAAATTAATATAACTATATTTTTGTAATTGCCGTCAATCAGTTATTCGGTATACAGCTTGGAAAACAAATATTGCACTTACCTGCCTGTGACTGAGGTTAATTATCTGAACCAGCTGATTTTCCAGTACCGTAATTATGTGATAAGCAGTTTAGAAATTTTGATAAACAATTTTTTTTGAAAAATTAAGTTTAATAATTTATTATTTCTTTCATTTAATAATTCTTAAGCACATCACTTTGTAATATTTTATTTGTTTATGTATACACATGGCTGTATGAATATATGTTAATTTCTTAGTAAACATGTCAAATTATTTATTTTATTTACTTATGCTATTCAATTTATTTATCTATTTTTTTAATAATTCATTCAATACATTTATACTTTTATTTGCTTAAATTATAAGGCAGAGTATATTTTGCGTTTTAAATACGCTTAAAATGTGCGTTTCCTTTTTTGTTTCCTTTTTTTTTTAATTAAAAGAAAATATAAAAGAAACATTAAAGTCCTTTTCTATTTGTCTAAATAGAGAAAAATCATAAAAAATAAAACAAATAACAAGAAATATTCAGTAATAGTGGAGCGCAAAAAGTGCTAACTTTGAAAATAAATTGCAAAATATCTAGACATAGAATCTCAAATCGCCACATAAAATCGATAGTTTAATGTTTGAACTTTTATTTGCATGTACTCTGGTGCTTGCACTTTTTGATTAAAGGTAGGCACGAGGTGTTTGAAAATTACCTGTGTTATCCTCTGAAATCGGAGGATAAACTATCCCACAATGCAACGCGGTTTCCATATATGGTAAAAATTTCGGCAGCCATATTGAATTTAGCTATCCTCCAAAAACGGAGGCCGCCCAGACCTGTTTACATAAGCTAATAAATAAAAAAAAATACATATGAAAAATACTAGTACATGTGTATTTAATTAAAGGTATATTTAACGCATATCAGTAAAATCCAAGATTAATTTAAAATACAGAAACAGGTTTTATTTTTCCCTCATTACATCTATGTCTGTGTGAATCTCTAACAGGTACAAAAGTTCAAGTGGTTTCTTAAATAATGGACAATATTCTAGATTAAATTCTTTTAAAGTGCAAAGCCCCAGATATAAGAATTGCACTCGTGTGTTTGAGCATTTATATATATATATATATATATATATATATATATATATATATATATATATATATATATATATATATATATATATATATATATATATATATATATATATATATATATATAATTATTGACTGATTGATTCCAACATTCAATTTCAATTTCGTTTCCTTCGAATTCCTCGACTTAATGTATTCTGTGCTGCAATGTGCGTTGACATTGGTCGCTTAGCGACAAAGTTTGCTGTAACACTTTCTTTTTCAATGAGAATTCAGAAATCATTTTCAGGATTTTGTAAGCCTATTGTAGCCTGTTTTTAATTATACTATAGAAACTTGACCCAGTAAGTGTTAATAGAATCACCGACCACTGCGATTAAGAGCTTTAAAGTTTGCCATGGATTTGCACTTTTACCAAGAGAAATATAAACTAATGAAGATAAAAAAAAAAATATTTGATATTAGTCTTTAATTGTATGTTAATTTTCAATCTTCGGTTAAAGACGTGCATTGCAGTTTTGTTTACAATTTTTCATGAACTTTCTTAAATTGAATGACAACGACTTTCTTAAACATCTATCTTTTTAAACATGGACAAGAGCTCTGTTATTGCTAATGTTTTCGTTTTAACGGGTGCGCTCAATTTGTTAACTCTGCATACACTGTACATCACTGAACACGAATTGACAACACCGGTGTGTTGCTTTTGCTATCTCTCATCTCAGATCTGAATTTACTGGATTATACTTTTAATATTTTTCATAAATACACACATTTTTTTTTTCCGTAAAAATTGATAATAATTCCTCTTGAAAATACAAGGATATGTGTGTCAATCAAACGCGTCCCAAAATTCGTAGTTTTAATAATTTTTCAGATAAAAGAAGCTTCTAAACACGCTTTTATAATACGTTTGAAATGCTTTAGCAACATATAAGTCATGACATTATACTGAAAATTTTACAAAATATTATTTTCAAATTTGCCTCCAAGCCCCTTTAAAACTATACTTGATTATGTGACATTATTATGACATGCATGCAGGTATTTCCAATTAATACCAAATGAAAAATGATTAAATGATGGATTTCTTTAAAAATAAATCTATGTGTCTAACATGTCTTTAAAATGAAAATCTTAAAATTAATAAATATTTAAATAAATGGTGTCAGAGTTTTATAATTTGAATATGAACACAATGATTTGAATGTTTTTAGTTTACCTGCGTTGATGTCAATGGAAATCCTTGTTCAATTTTTTCCAAAATTGTAGACAAGCATGAGGACAGATTATTTAAACAATGATGCTTTTTGTTACAGGGAATATGATGGTTACCAATCTTGTAGGAAAAATTAAATGAGGCGCTTAAGCTTGAAATGAAAAAATTCCTACTTGCAATTTTCCAATAGGCCATTAGGGGGCACGTCAAGCAACTTTTAATCTTGCTAGACATATATTATTTGATTATAATTATTTTAACATTTTGTTGATCAAGATCACGTTTTACAAAAAGAACTTACGATGAAATATGGAGATAATGAACAGTATTCAAGCTCAAAGTCCATTTAAGCAATACAAATCAGGATCAGCGCAAACACAGACTTCCAAAAAACATCAGACGTGGGATCAGGTGTCATGGAGGAGTGAGCATCCCCTGCCGACCGGTCACACCCGTCGTGTGCTCCTTGTCACGATCGGGAAAACGAAAAATGTCCGTAGACAATTCAGTGTGTAAATAATGGGCAAACAGTTAGTATGAAAAATGTCAGTCAGCATTGGACTTAATGGTAAGTTGTATTTGCTGACAAGGTCATTATATCGACCATAAAACGAAATTATAATACGAAATGATGACTAACCGAGACTGTTGATAT